GGGGCCAAGAAGGGGCCATTACAGCAGGACACTTACCGTGACCTCATACTTGACCTTGCTGCCCACATCCCTCTCAGACCGCATGGCGCTCTCACCTTTCACCTCGCCAGAGAAGAAGAGTTGCTGGGGAATGGCCACCCTGGTGTGGGGGTGAGACAGAGGCTGAGGAGGCCTGGGGGCTGGCTGAATGGAGTCAGGATGGTAAGGCCAGGCAAGGCAAAGCCCAGGCCAGGGTCTGGGAGTGGCAGCACCCCCACCCTCCAACAGAGGTACCCTCGCAGGCAGAACTTACCCTGAAATGGACAGTGGCAGCTCAATGAAGACATGGGCTCGAGCAGAGACTGGATGCAGCTCCTGCTCACTGATCCTAGCATGTGGGCATGGGCACGTGTGGTCAGCAGACACGGGCACTCCCAAGAGGCCTGCAAAGCCAATCCAACTGCCCCATCTTGCCCCCAGGCTTACGTGGCCAACAGCAGTTCCACCTCCAGTTCTGTGGTCTCAATGGTGATCCCAGAGGTACTGAGGATGAGGTAGAAGGTGACCTGGCCAATGTGGAATGACAAAAGAGTCAGGAGAGGGCTGGGCCTTAAGAAGGGGCCACTCAGACAGGGCAAAGGGCAGATGTGCCAACCTGAGCCCCTCTCTTCATAGGGTTCCCCAGCTCACACTCGACATGAGAGGCATTCTCACTGGACAGGCAAAGTGGCTTCTCCTGGAGCAAGAAGGGAAGGACAGGTCAGCTTGGGTGATTGAAGACCTTCAAGATCCCATCCCATGGGTCTACACAATGGAGTTTTATTCAGTCATAAAGAGATTGGGGAGCCGGATGTGGTGGCACAAGCCTTTAATCCCAGCACTCGGGAGGCAGAAGCAGGTGGATCTCTGTGAGTTCTGAAAAAAAAAATGAAATTGGGGCTGAAGAGATGACCCCAGGCTTAAGAGCACTGACTGCTCTTCAAGAAGACCTGGGTTCACCTCCCAGCACCCACATGGTGGGCTACTATCCGTAACTCCAGTTCCAGAGGAATCTGCTGTCTTCTCTGGCCTTCATGGGCATTGCATATACATGGTACACTTACATCTGACCAAACACTCATACATATAAAATAAAAATCGAATATATATATATGCATATAGTTTTTATTTTTTTGAGACAGGGTCTCCCTGTGGCCACAGATGAACTGGAATTCATAGTGTAGACCAGGCTGGCCTCAATCTCACAGATATCTGCCTGCGTCTGCCTCCTGAGGGCTAGGATTAAAGGTGTGCACCACCATCCCCTGGCAAAATATTTAAAAAAAAAAAAAAAAAGAAAAGAAAAACAAAATTATATCATTTACAGGAAAATGGATAGAACTGGAGATCACCGTGTAAAACAAAACAAATCAAATATGTATATTTTCTCTCATATGAGAAATCTAGAGCTTATATATATAATATATATGTGTGACATAAAAGTAGAAGGGGCCTATATAGGTAGAGGACGGGGTCAAAAGTAGGGGAAGGGAAATAAGATGGCAAGAGGAGGGAGAGAGCTAAATATTGAATATTTTCTCTCATATATGGAATCTAAACGTGTGTGTATATGTGTGCACGTGTGTGTGTGTGCGTGTATCTATGTATATACCAGGTGCCATGCTACACGCCTGTAATCCCAGCACCTGGGAGACGGGAGCAGGAGTCTTGCCACAAGTTCAAGGCCAGCCTTGGCTACAGAGTGAGAGGCCTTGTCTCAGAAAAAAATACACACACACATACATACACATGTACACACACATATGACATGAAAGAAAAGGGATTATGTTAGGAGGAAGAGGTCTAAAGGAAGGAGGGAACAAAACAGGGTAACACTAGCAGCAAAAGGACCAATATTACATTTTCTCTAACAATATACATAAGTGGGGCTGGAAAGATAGTTCAGTGGTTAAGAGCACTGGTTGCTCTTACAGAGGATCAATTCCCACCAATTCCCAGCACTCACATGGCAGCTAACAACTGTCTGTAACTCCAGTTCCAGGGGACCTGACACCCTCATCTGACCTCTGTGGGAACTGCACAATATGGGTGCAATTTATTTAATATTTTTAAATATTTTATTATTTTTATTTTTATGTGTATGAGTGTTATGCCCGCATGTAAGTAAGTGCACCCGTGTCATGCAATGCCCGCGGAGGACAGAAGAGGCTGTCAGATCCCCTGGAACTGGAGTTATGGACAGTTGTTAGCTGCCATATGGGTGCTGGGATTCGAACCAAGGTCTTCTGCAAGAAAAGTCAGTGTTCTTAACTGCTGAGCCATCTCTCCAGCCCATAAATATTTTTTTGAAAAATAATATACGTAGGTATAGGGGGCTGTTTCAGGGGTGAAGGGAACCAAAAGGAGGGAGGAGGGGCAAGGAAGGGTAATGGGATAAATATGAGCAAAGTACAATAATATACGGTTATGAAAATGTCTAATGAAACCCGTAATTTTATATTCTCTAAGAAATTTGTTCCAAACAGAAAAATTAATTCAAAACATTTTAAAGGCCCCACCCTGCCCTTCCCTGATTTCTCACTGCGGGGTCCATGGCCCGGACTCCTGAATAGTGCAATGAGGCTGGGAGGGTGACCAGGAGCTGGGCTTCATGGGCATCATCCCCATCAGCCTGAGGCTGCCCTGGGTCCGAGGGCAGGTTTGTGACCATCAACTCCAGGGCAATGAATGGCTGCCCACTCAGTGCAAACAGGGCCGTCGTCCCATCCACATCCCTGGAGGGTGGAACGAAACTCACTGTATGATCTGAACCCCACCCTCTCCACACACATCTCCACTCCAGTCCCCGCTCAAAGATACATTGCCTCTCTCCCGACCCCAGGTCTTCAAACTGTACACCAAACCAAACTAGCTATTGCTATGCACAAATGAGCCGGGGGACCTCCATTTTCACCCCAGCTCCACTACCTACTGACTCCAAGGAAATAGCAGCCCCTCTAAGCTTCCATGCTCGATCCATAAGACAGAACCAATCATCCCTACCTCAAAGAGTGGTGAAGACTAAGCAACAACGTATCCAGAAACTGCGTGCTATCATAGGACTGAGAAAACTGCTATCACTGGTCACAACCCTGTGGCCCCATCCCTGACCTTCATCTCAGTCTTCTAAGTCACAGGCAGGTCCTCTCTAGCCTCTGCCTGATCCCTCTGAGGAGGCTTCCTCCCATTTGCTGAGCTCTGGCCCTTACTACACACACACACACACACACACACACACACACACACACACACATTCATGTACGCATGTGCACACACACACACACACACACAAGCATGCATGCTCCACACCCCTCTCACATGGGCAGAGGCTGGAACTCTGTGTCGCTGACTCGGGCACAGAAGCGGGCCTGCACCAGCTGCAGATTGCTCTGACAGATTTTGTCTTCACCACAACCTTGCTTCAGAAAGTGGATCTGAGGAGAGATATAAGAGGACCATTTCTAGAGATGAAGCAGGGGCCAAATGTGTCACTAAGGCCTATGGCATGCTAGAGAAACACAGGATTAAACAACCCAAAAAATGGCACTTACCAGCCAGGTGTGGTGGCATATGCCTTTAATCCCAGCACCTGGGAGGCAGAGGCAGGCAGATCTCTGTGAGCTCGAGGCCAGCCTGGTCTACAAAGTGAGTTCCAGGCCAGCTGGGGCTACAGGGAGACTGTGTCTCAAAAAAGACAGAAAGAAGAAAGAAGAAAAGAAATAAAAGAAAGAAAGAAAGAAAGAAAGAAAGAAAGAAAGAAGGGAGGGAGGGAGGGAGGGAGGGAGGGAAGGAAGGAAGGAAGGAAGGAAGGAAGGAAGGAAGGAAGGAAGGAAGGAAGAGAAAGAAAGAAGAAAGAAAAAGAGAAAAGAAACAAAACAAAAAAATAAAAAATAAACATAAAAAAACTGGCACTTACCATCTGTGTGATATTGGACTGGTCATTTAACCATTCTGAGCTGTAAAATTATGGGAGTATCGCCATGCTGTCATAGAGACGAGCAGGCTGGTCCCCAGACAGACCACATTTCCCAGCCTAGACTGCATGTACCAGATTCTACACCGGAACTGCAGAGAGCAGTGAAGGGCGCCGCCTCTGGGCCAGCTCTGAAGACAGTAGGCTCCCAGCAGCCTACGACCTTGAATGACTACAGGAAATGAAGGAGCACTGAACCCTTAGTCTAGGAGCATGTGGTCATTTGGGCCATTTTACTTTTAATGATCTATTTGTTACAGCACCTACAGATACAGGGGAAGTACAGGGGCCACATGTGTGGAAGAGCTTTGCAAGCCATGAGTGAATGTCACAGTGGAAAGACCAGGAACACTCCCAGCTCCAGTTCCCCACACTCACCTCTACCCTCTGAGTGCTAGGCTGGTGAGCATTGAGGATGGGGGCCACAGGGAGCAGCCCTTGGCCAGGAGCCTGTCGCCGCAGTCGAGGGGTCTGGAGACTATAGGAAAAGTTCACCACAATGGCACGAAGCTTATCTTTGACATTCTCCTGGAAAGGGAGAGATTGTTCTTCACTGAAACAACCTCCAGACTCCTACCCAAGGCCCCCCGCCAGTCCCAGTGCAGACTCTGAAGCTCATAAAGAAGGTGAGGGAGGAGAGCAAAGGTAGAAAAGTGAGGGGGGGGCGGAGGAAGGGAGACCACAGCAGGAAAGGACAGTCAAATGTTGGATTTTGAGGACCAGACTCCCCATCTCTGTGGAGTGCCAGTTTTCATTTCACGGGAGACAGGAAAGTAAAAGTGAGTGCCAGGTGGACATGATAGCTCATGCCTGTAACCACAGCATTCTGGGCGACATACAGTGACCCATTTCATTAAAAACAGGGGCACAGAGGCAGCAGTAAGAAAGAGCTCAAAGGGGAAGCTGCTCAAAGCCTAGACCTTCTGTTTTGCTTTGCTTTGTTTTGTTTTGTTTTGTCTGAGACAGGGTCTCCCTATAGCGTGCACCTAGTGCCCACCTCTAGATTTTTTTAAACTTGGAACACTTCATGAATTTGCATTTTATCATTGTTCAGGGGCCATGCTAATCTTCTCTGCATCGATGGTTCCAATTTTAGAATATGTGCTGCTAAAGTGAGTGCAAAGATTTTCTTTCTTTTTTGTTTTTATTTGTGTGCATGCATGTGTGTGTGTGTGTCTGTGTATCTGTGTGTCTGTGTGTCTGTGTGTCTGTCTGTGTGTCTATGTGTCTGTGAGTCTGTGTGTCCATGTGTCTATGTGTCTGTGTGTCTGTGTGTCTATGTGTCTGTGTGTCTGTCTGTGTGTCTATGTGTCTGTGTGTCTGTGTGTCTATGTGTCTGTGTGTCTGTGTGTCTGTGTGTCCGTGTGTCTATGTGTCTGTGTGTCTGTGTGTCCGTGTGTCTGTGTGTCTGTGTGTCCGTGTGTCCATGTGTCTGTGTGTCTGTGTCTGTGTGTCTATGTGTCTGTGTGTCTGTGTGTTTGTCTGTCTGTGTGTCTGTGTGTCCGTGTGTCTATGTGTCTGTGTGTCCGTGTGTCTATGTGTCTGTGTGTCTGTGTGTCCGTGTGTCTATGTGTCTGTGTGTCTGTGTCTGTGTGTATGAGTGCAGGTGCCTGAGGAGGCTACAAGAGAGTGTCAAATCCCCTAGAGCTGGAGTTACAGGCAGTTGTGAGCCACCCAACATGATGCTGAGAACCAAATTCAGGTCCTCTGCAAGAGCAGCAAGTGCCATTAACCACAGAGCCATCTCTCCAGCCCCTCAGAGCCTAGATCTTCCAATGGGGTATGAATGTGCTAGGGAAGAAGCAAGGGAAAGATTTGCAGTAACAGTGACACCGGAAGCCAGGGGTCAGGTCCACCTGCAGCTGGAACATGGTATCTCCACAGACTCGGTCATGCTGGTGCTTCAGCCACACGGTGCCTGAAGCCTGGTGCTTGGGGTCATCTGGGCTGTGGCTCAGGAAAGTAACACGGGGAACCTGGCCCCGGAGCCTCCGGTCTGTGTCCCCATCTAACATGTAATCAAGGGCTGTGGTGTGTAAGGAGAAGAGAGAAGCCAGTGAGCTGGGGAGCTGCTTCATCTGACCCCATTCCCTGGTACCCTCCTCTCCACACTGGAAGGCAATCAGGGTGAGCAATAGGAGAGGATCCCACTCACCCACAATAGGGTTGTAGCTGCTGGGCACAGCAATGTAGCTGAAACAGATCCTTAGGTCCACACTGTGAAGCAAAGGGAGGCTCCTGAGTCAAATAAGACCCCAAGCCCCACTCCTGTCCCATCCCAGCCCCTAGACCCAAACAGGAAAAAACAGAGTGCTGGCAGCCTCCTCCACCCTCCCTTCAGGTCCCACCTCACCAGACCAAGCGGCCACCAGCACAGTTGGGCTGTTCCAGGTCAATGGCTCTTGGAGCAATGAAGATCTCTTGGGAGATGTGGAGGACAGGTCTGGCCCTGGGGCATGGAGAGGTCAGGGGGCAGGAAACGTGAGAATGTGAGGCTGGGAACACTCTGCAGGTCCAGATTTGACTCTGGAGTAAGGTCAAAGTTACAGGAAGGGGCTGGTGGCCTGGAGACTCACCTGAAGAGTACAGCTGTGTCCTCCAGGGAGCCTACCAGCAGGTCAGGGTAGTGGTTTCCATCCATATCCAGGCCACCCGACAGAGAGTAGCCAAAGCTCTTGATTCCCACAGCCTCACCCTCCAGCACCTGAGGACCAGCAGTCAACTTCCCTGAACCCCACCTTCCCCACATCTTGGCCTCCCCAACCTGCCCTCTGCAGCCCTTATTCCACCCATGCCCATTCCTTTACATCAATAACGCCCCTCACCTGTGTAGGTTTGACAACCACCCCCAGGCTGCTCCCGTGGTAGATAAAGACCTTCCCGTCCCCATCAAAGGGCGCTCCCACAGCGATATCTGGGGGCATGAGAAAAGCCATCACAGGGCTGGGGGATTGGTAGACAAGGTTCACCCCCAGTTTCCCTCATTCAGTCCTGCAGAATGTTTTCTGTTTCATTGAAAAGCTATCTACAGTATTATAAACACCATCAGTCACTCCCTCCAGACACTAGCAGCTCAACTTGTCCTTTATAAGCATAAAAAATTCAGATATAAACCCAGGTTCCTTCTCCCACCCTGATCTCTTGGGAATTCCACAACCTTCCCCAGACCCATCCCACACTGAGTCTTTCCCATTCCCATTCACACCTGGGAAGCCATCTTGGTTGAGGTCCCCCAAGACAGCCAGACTGATCCCAAACATGGAGTCAGGAGAGCCACAGAGCCGAAGTGGAGAGACATCTGCCCATTGGCCACCCTTGTTCATGTACACATACACAGCACCTCCTAGCTCTTCTTGGCGCTCAAAGAAGTAGGGGGCACCCACAATCAGGTCTGGCCAGCTGTGGAGAAGAGAGACATTATGGGGTCCTCTAGGCCATGGGAGCCAGGACAAGATGCAGAAGTCACTCTGTCCTCCTGAGCCCACCTTCGCCCAGGTCACTGCCCTTCTCCTCTCTCACCCATCATTGTCGAGGTCAGCCACAGCCAGTGAGTAGCCAAAGCCAGAGGTCAGACGCTCCCCAGGCAACACCACCTCGGGGACCAGGCGGCTGGCACTGTCCTTGCGCAGAATGACCACAGCACCCGTGTGGTTGGCACGGGGGGCCCCTGCCACAAAGCTCAGCTCCTCTGCACGCATAAGACCCTTTCCAGAGTCAATGGAGAAACCTAGGCAAGGGGATCACTTTCTATGAATAATTCTCTAAGACTTGGAAGGCAGGTGTACCCCTGGAGCCACAAGGAGGAGGTGCCCCTCAGTCACCACCACCATAGCTCAGCCACCTCCCCCTTCTAGACCTGGAAGATTTCTCAGCCCTCCTAGCCAAAGACACATGATATAAATCATGTGTCAGCCTCAGGAACTGGGGAACAGAGAGAAAGGCACTGACAGAGAACCCCAGGTGACTAGACAGGTAATGGACACAGTGGTGGGAGCTGGGCCAGAGGCACTGCTCATACCCAACCCAGAAAACTGAAGGAGAGGGCTGCCATTCTACACAATGGGAGGCCCCAGTACTACCCAATGTATCTTCTTCACCCCCATCCCTCCATCCAGCAGGGGAGAAGTCTTCACATGGATGGGAGAGAAGCCAGGGGCAGGGAAGAGTTTGGTTCACCCAAACGTCTCCTGGCCTTCATTTATCCTTGTCCATGTGCAGAGGAGGACAAATGGCAATGAGGGCCTTACCCACAAGACGAGAGCTTTCTCCAGCAAAAGCCCATCATCCACCCCTCAGAGGAAGTTCCCTAGAAGTCAGGACTATACTTTCAAACATGTTGGTCCCGGGCCCTCTCATGTCACCTGGATCTTCCTCCATAAAGATCCTGGGTTCACAGCCCCCAAAGCTATCATCTCTGGGGCCTCTTCTCAGACCTATCACTAGACCCAAATCTCCTCTGCAATTTGGGGCCAATGTGTGTTTCTCTGGGAATGTGTTCAGAGAGGGTAGGGGAGGAAAGGATGTTCCCTAGCCAGGAAGGAGGGAAGGCCAGGGCCAAAGCCCCCAGGGCCCAGGAAGCAGGAGCTTACAAACCTAAGTAGCTATTCAGGGCCAAGTCTCCGGCTGGTCCTGGGAGCCGGTCAGCAGGGTCCAAAGTTTTATACACCAGCTGGTCAGGGTCTGAACTATCAATGTTGGTCACAAAAAGCAACCCTGTGGGGGCAGGTCAGGGAGAGACACCAGGGAAAGGACAGCCAGAAAAGGGACCACAGAGTACGGAGACCAAGCCAGAAAGAAAGACCAGAAGAAGGAGGAAGAGGAAGAAGAGGAGAAAGAGGAGGAGGAGGAGGAGGAGGACAAAGAGGAGGAGAAGGAGGAGGAGGAGGAGGAGGGGGAAGAGGAGGAAGGGGAGGAGGAGGAAGAGGAGGAGGAGAAAGGAGAAGAGGAGGAGGAGGAGGAGGAGGAGGAGGAGGTGAAAGAAACCAAGAAACCAGAGACAGACAGAGACGGAAGGATGGGAGAATGGAGAGGGAGGACAAGAGAGAGGAGCAGAGGGTTAGAGTGGTTCTGGGCCAGGGAGGGGTCCCTACCAAAGTAGCTGTTGGCAGGGACTGGGATGAGGTGGGGGTCCTGCTCCTTCTCGCCCCCCGCCTCGTAGGGCCCGTCGTCCAGGTGTGCCAGGTCCGCCGAGCCCTGTGCACAGAGCTCCACCCTGGCCGTGCCTGCAAGGACAGTCCTGTTAGTGCCCAAGGCAGGGAGCAAAGAGCACCCGTCAGGCCGGACATTCTGCTAGACAGGCACACAGGGAAGCCCCTCCTCTCCTCTCCAGCCCCATCTCCACCAGTTCCCTAGTCCAAGCTTCCTGGAGTTCCCCAGATGTAGCATCACACTCACCGAGTGTCAGCTCAGCCAGTGGCAGCGTGCAGAGACGGGAATGGCAGTGATGAGGTAGACTGCTGTATTGGAGCATGCAGGCCCTGGCTCAGCCGTGCATGTAGGGGCTCATGCCAGCATGTAGAGGAACACTTGACCATGCGATGGAGAGGAGCTACCCCCATTCATTATGTGCTAGCATGATGGGAGTGGAAGGCAGGGCAGTGCCCCAGGGCAATATGCCAATGAACCTGTGGTCATGCTTGGCCATGTGTTTCCTGAAATCCCATCTCTGAGGTAAGAGGAGGTTTTAGTCTCCTCCTCCAGTCCCCAAAGAGTGACTCACCCTTCCAGTTATAGGTTCCTGGAGCTCCAAAGAGGAGGTAGTGGCTGTCAGGGGAGAAGGCGGCAGCTGTGCCCTGCTGGCAGAACCCAAATTGTTCATGGCCCTGGGGGCGCCCCTCACAGAACTTCCACTCCCCACCATCTGGCTCCTCATGGACCACTAGGTCTTGGCTTAGCACAAAGCAACGGCCAATCACATCCCGTGTCTCTAGAATCTGGTCTACTCGCTGCCGTGACTCATATCGGTGTGCACAGGTCTGTGGGAAAATGGGAGGATAGGTCAATTCCTGTACTTGCTAGGGACCTACATGCTACTCACATGCAGACACACGCACGCGCGCGCACACACACACACACACACACACACACACATCCTATGCTAGCATCACTTGAGCACCCCTG